TTCCTTTCTTTCTCTTTCTCTCTCTCCCTGAGTCAGTCAGTCAGTCAGTCAGTCAGTCAGTCTGTGTGTGTGTGTGTGTGTGTTTGTGTGTGTGTTTGTGTATGTGGCAGTGGTGGGTTTCAAAAAATTTTGGAACCTCTTCTGTAGGTGTGGCCTGCTTTCCGGGTCCACTGGTGGAACCTCTTCTAACCGGTTTGGTAGATTTCACGAACCGGTTCTACCGAATAGGTGCGAACTGGTAGGAACCCACCTCTGGTTCTTTGGTTGCAGTCATTGCATTATTGCAATTCAGGCATTTGGCAACCGCCTTGTAATTATGATAGTTGCAACATCCCACATTCAAATGATCAATGTTTATAACGTTCTGCAGGATCCCTACAAGCCAATGGAGAAGTCACGAAAGGCAAGTTTATTTGAAAACCACCTGGGTTTCACCTAGCAACTGCAACTGAAACACAATCATGTGACATCAAGCCTTACAACTGCCTAACTTAGCGATGGAGTTCATATTCCCAATTGCAATTGTTAATTGAGGATTACCTGTAACCTAAAAGAATAGCAAGTGTAGACCAGACGCCAACTTTGGAAGGAACTGAATGTACATTAAGTAGCAAAAAGCATGATTCTCATGAGGTACATAAATTGCTTTTCAGTAAATATGGAATTCTTTGGCTGAGTTTCTCTCGAAAAGATTGGTGCTGGATGGTCATTCAAAGCACTCCTGCCTCTTGGTTCCTGAACCTGGGCACATATATGTTTCATACCTGTTTGCCATGGTCATTTTGTAGGACGTTGCTCCAGCTGCCAATCCAGTAATGAGATTCCCCATACTGGTTCCAAGCAAAGGTTCCTGGCGATCATTTTTAAGAACCTAGACAAGAAAGACTGCTATCAAAAATGACTAAAAATGAGCTTTCACCTGCAGAGATAACAACAAAAAAAAAACTCTTTCTGGTAATAGGCAGTATTTTAAATTGATTTCTAAACAATCCCCTTTTTACAATGATACTGCCAGCTTCTTCTCTGACAGCAATTTGCACATATTTAATAACGATGGAAAGAGAAATTGCATCAGGGCAGGTTTTTTAGTTCAAAGTGATGCAGAAAATCTGCCTTTAAAAAGGCTGCGGTTTCATGCATTTTCATGCAGAGGTCTGTCGAAGCAGCAGAGCAAGCAATGCAAATTTGAAGTAGGCTAGTTCTTGTGCTCCCCACCACTATTGAAGTAGGATATGAGAACTTGATATTTTTTTTAAAAAATCCATATATATATATATATGTATGTATGTATGTATGTATGTATGTATGTATGTATGTATGTATGTATGTA